CAGTTATTATCCTCCTCCTAAGCTGCTGGGCCTCACAGATGCCAATTGAGTTAAAGCCCGAGAAGGCAGGTGGAATTGGCAGTTGAACCTGAAGCTGACTCAACACTCCTGGCACGGTGGAGGGAGGAAGTTCTAGGTTTGCTCATCCCCATAATGGCAGCTGAGGTTGTATTCTCAAACTTTGAATGAGATTAGGTTTGCGTCACATGTCTTGGAAAAGGAAACTAGACCTTGGCATAGCAGGGAAGCTGACTCGTAAAACTCTCCTGGAGATCTCAGCCTGGGAACCAATGACTACATGCTAATATGCATTCATCCTTCTGCTCACTTGTTCAAGCATTTACTGAGTTCCCTTTGGTACCAGACATAGTTCTAGGCTATGGGGATATGAAGATAAAAATCTCTGTTTTCAAGGTAATCTTATTCTAATGAAGAGCCAAGTAGTGAGATCCTTAAAACATAGAGTGAAAGGTATACGCTAGAACATACATTTCCAAGGGGGGCAAAAATTGGTTCTTAAAATTGGTTCTTGTGGTATCTTGGATATTACATTATGAAAGTTTGTGGCCCTCCAAATCTCAGTCATACCTGATTGAATTCTAGTTCTTAATATTTAATTTCTCTCATTAAGGATAATTTAAAAATAATTTCACTCTTCTCGTTATTTGAGAGCAAGAGTGAAAATAAAAGTTTAGAAACATCAGAAGAATGCACAGGAGCTGTGGGTCTCATAGGAAAGCCTCTAGCCCCTCCAGCTAAACCACCAGGAAGCCTTTCTGAAGGATGAGACTCTGAGCCAAGCTTTAAAGTAAAAGTAGAAATTCTACAGGATAACAAATGAGAGAAAGGTGTTTGTGCATAGGGAGTAACAGGTGCATGGGCTAAAGATGTTAGAAAAGTGCTATTTAAGGAATTGCAGTGGTTCTATGAAGAGAGAATTTAGCAGATTGGATTGGGATGGGGGAGGATGGTGTGACCCTCTGGGGGCCAGCTCAGCTCTTGCAAAGGGGTTATATTTTATTCTTAAAGAACTGAGGAACCAATAAAAAGCTTTAAGTAAGAGAGTAACATTTCAGATTTATGTTTTGAAAATATTCGGGGGAGGAAAAAGAAGAAATTTATGTTGGCAGCAGTGGTGAAAATAGAAGTGGGGAGGAGGGGCAAAGGCTGGATCCCAAGCAGGCAAACTGTTTAGGAGGAAGCCATTGCTATGAAAAACTGGGCAGAGCCAAGATGGGGTCCTTCTCAAGAGCTGGAGAGTTTGCCTTGTGGGCAGACAGGCCATATGGTCTGGAAAAGACTCTGTGCGGGCAGCCATCACCACCCTCTATGAAAGGAAAGCCAGAGTAATTAAATATCTGTTTACACAAGGCATCCACATAGGGCTTTCTAAGGGAAATGATATTATTTTATTTTTCAAAAGCTTGTTATTAAATTCAAAATACATACAAAAATAAAAATAGCATAATGAATCACCATGCATCACCCAGTGTTAATGGTGATTTGCTTACAACCAACCTTGCTTCATCTCCCCTCTTAGTCTGGTTTCCCCACTTCACCAGTGGAGTTATGAAGAAATTCCCGGCATCATCTCATCTTTTTACTATTACTAACATATGCCTAAAAAATACTTTTTTAAAACATATAACTAAATAACATCATTAGCAATATTTTTAATATGATAAAATAGTCGCTCAATGTTCACATTTCCCTGATATATATAAAATCCTAATTAAAACCAACTGTTTTTTTTAAAGCAATCTATCCGAGGAAAAAATAGACAAATAGACAGCTTTTTTTTTTTTTTTTTTTTTAGAGGGAGCCTTGCTGTGTCGCTCAGCCTGGAGTGCAGTGGCACAATCTCAGCTCACTGCAACCTCCACTTCCCAGGCTTAAGCGATTCTCCTGCCTCAGCCTCCTGAGTAGGTGGGACTACAGCACGTGCCACCACACCCAGCTAATTTTTGTATTTTTAGTAGAGACGGGGTTTTGACATGTTGGACAGGCTGGTCTCAAACTCCTGACCTAAGGTGATCCGCCTACTTTGGCCTCCCAAAGTGCTGGGATTACAGCCATGAGCCACTGTGCCCGGCCAATAGATACCTTTTTATAACAGTTGGTTTTAATTAGAATTCCAAATGATCTACTCATTGCTTTTAGTTGTAATATCTCTTAAATCTCCCTTTTCTTTCTTTCTTTCTCTTTCTTTAATTTTCTTTTCTTTCTTTCTTTTTTTGAGACAGAGTCTCGCTTCATCACCCAGGCTGGAGAGCAGTGACATGATCTCAGCTCACTGCAACTTCCACTTCCTGGGTCAAGCAATTCTCCTGCTTCAGCCTCCCAAGTAGCTGGGACTACAGGCGCAAGGCACCACGACTGGCTAATTTTTGTACTTTCAGTAAAGACGGGGATTCATCATGTTGGCCAGGCTGGTCTTGAACTCCTGACCTCAGGTGGTCCACCGCCTTGGCCTCCCAAAGCGCTGGGATCACAGGTGTGAGCCACGAAGCCCAACTAAATCTCCTTTCTCTTTTGTGTTTCTCGCAATATTTGTTAAAGAAAACATAAATCAGCTTCCATTTCTGTCATAATTTAAATAGAGCATCACGTCATCCTGTTTCCACCCCAATGTAATCACAGGAATGTGTCCTTCTTGTTAAGATGTACCATTTCCTAGATTCGCATCTCCATCACTATCTAAACTCATTGGGTGCCCTAATAATTGCCTTCTAGTCAGTGAGGACTCAGATGCCAATAAAAAAATGTCCCCAAATAAGGCAACCTGAAACAGACTATCTTAAAGCCATTTACTTCATCTCTGGTATTATTTTGTCATCTTTGTGTCACAAGTTACACTGTCGAAAAATAACATGGAATACTCACTCTGGGTTGCCTGCAGAATGAGCTGAATAGAACCAGGTACCCCCCTTCTCCCAATGAATGGCACTACCCCCAAATCCCCTTCCCATGGACCACTTTTTGTTTTCATCTGAAGTATGGTTTCCATGGATACTCCCACTAGTTATTGGGTCTCCAGGTCCTGGGCAAGCATCCTTCTCCCCAAAGCCCATAAAGAGCGGATGCTCCAACCCAAAATGCTTGGCACCCATTGACAAGTTTGTGCTCATGCTTGCCTTATACAGAGAGCAATAAGGGGTCAAGGTCTTTACTATGGCATACACACCTCCACTGAACGGCCCACACAGAGTGTCCAGCAGTAACTAATGTTTAACTTTGCCAGGGATTACTAATCAAATGACTCATTCAGAATTTCATCCAGAATATAGTTGACGATGAGGGCTGCAAAGTACATGCAATCTATCCAATAGTGCTCTGTTCATTTAGGTCAAAGCCAGCTCTGAAATGTGACAAAACTTCGTACTGTAGGAAAATTTAGACTTTTGACTTCTGCCCGTTATTCAGTTACCCTCTATCTTGATGCTTCTCTCCAGAGCCCTTAGCAGATAATCACCAACTTATTGGCCACAACTTCAGCATCAGCCCAGAAGAAACTTGTGAACCAGCAAACAGAGCTGTTTTAGGTTTGATATGGGAACTTCTCAGCTGCTAATGTAAATTTGATCCCAATGTTGAAGATTTTGTGCCCTAAAATGTTGACTTAAGCATTGCAGTGTGTGGTGGATGGTCTTTAGTTCTGAATATGTGGAGCAAATACGTTGAGTAGAGTGCTCAGAAAGTGGAGATGGTGGCTGCATTCAAAACTCCCAATCTATGGCCAGAAGTGAAGTAAGTGCTGGCAAGAGAGGACACATTGCTTCCCACATGACTCGATAGACCCTTCATTTTATATTCATCCTAATTCTTCACTGAAAACACAATTAATTGAATTGTTAACTCAAGCCTTGCTTTTCCTCCTTATTTTAGGGTTTCATATAGTAAATGAACAGCTGCTCACTGCAAAAATGTGGCCGTGTTAATACTTCACTAGGATGTAGTCTGATTGTAAAAGCTGACTGTTTTGTTAAAGTAGCCACTGAACCATTTCATTGTATCCTCAGGTGCAGAAATGAAACAGTTCCTTAACCATTCACAGCTCCCAGGCCCAAGGAATAAAACAAGAAACGCCCAAGAACTTTAAGCATGTCAGAAGCAAATAAAACCTTTGAATTCTGAGACTTCTTATTTGCAACCCTGACACCATCACAATACCCACCATGTTGAAGGCAGCCCATGATATCTTTCTGGCCAGTCCTTTAGGCAGAGCACATTCACAAGTGTCTTCCACTATAATAATGTTGAATAGCCAAAATTAGTTTATGACAGCGTGGCAGCCTGGTCTATGCTGTTGAAACATAGTTTACAACAGCTTTTACTCCATTGAAAGAGGAGAGATGATCATTCAAACTTCCACTTTAATATCTGTAATTCACTGATAGGACTCACATTAGAAGATAGTAAGTGGAATGATATGTAGGAGATTCTAGATTTCTTGCTGTTGTCTTCAAGTTTACTTATCTAAGTTCCACTTAACCATATATATGTTATCATTTGTTCCAACCCTTAGCAAAATCCACGTTTCTATATCAAAAGTTAGCTTGCATGTAAAGCTTAAAATGGAAACAGCATGACCCGATGTCTTCTTTGTTACTGGGTGACTCTCTCCTCTCAAATTATAATACCTCCTCAGCCATATGTTTATTTCACAGGTATTTACTGCACACTTACCAAATGCTAGATAAGCACTGTCCTAGACATGGACACAGTTGAAAGGTCCTGCAGCCCCAGTTGGGCAGATCTCACACATTTAAAACATAAGTCATTAGGCAGTGTTCCTCTCCCCTGGCACTGACAATGACTATATCTCTATATTTGAATGTAAGATCCTACTAAGGAAATGCTGTTCCCCAAAATAATTATTTTCTGAGACATGATACTTCGATGAGGATGTTTTGAATTCCTACTTTATATGTGAATCTATGTGTCTTACTCCTTTGCCTTTTCCAAAGAAATCAATTATGATTCCTTGGCATTTATTGCAGATGAGCAAGAAAGTTCCGGAGCAATTATTTACACCGTGGAGCTGAAACGCTATGGGGGGCCCCTTGGCATCACAATTTCAGGAACTGAAGAGCCATTTGATCCTATAATCATTTCAAGCCTCACTAAAGGGGGATTAGCTGAAAGGTAAAATTTGAAGTAACTGTTATAATTACCTGTGTCTGAGATGGGCTTCCTTCCTCACAACCACATAAAAACATGCTCCTCTCTCTGTGGTTATCTGTTGGCTTTTAAAAATCTGCACAAAGGATTGATCTTAGAGCTTGAGAACTCTCAGGCAGAGCTCCGACTTGACTCTGAGGGGCATCTTACAGGCGGTAAAAGATGTCATGGGCTTAGCATTGATATGACTCTCTGAAATGTATAAAATGACCACAATTGACTGAAGATGGATTTGTATTGTGTCCATTTTGAGAGGAGGAAACTAAAGTTCAGGGAGGTTGAATGGCTTGTCCAATTTCATTCAGCAAACACTTGCTGAGCCTCTGTTACCTGACAGGTGCTGCACTTAGCTGCTGTGTGTTCAGAAGAGGGTGATACAGGCATCATCTTATGGGAACAAAGTGTAGTGACCCATTTTAATAATGTCTTAAAATCTGGAATGTCCGTTTTTTACTTTGGCAATGATGTATACACACACACCCACTCCCCACCCTCTGCTAAACTGCATTTCTTTCTGAGATGTGTTGTCAGACATATGACAAACCCTACAGGCAAGTCTGTCCTCCAGATCTGTCCTTCCAACCTAGCTCAGGAATACACAAATGCATTGTTCCTGCTAACAACTGGAAACAGTGGTTAGCAAAATAGAGACACAGCATTGCAGAATGTTGGAGCTGCAGTGTACCTTAGAAATTAGCTCAGACAGGCTGGGTGTGGTGGCTCACACCTGTAATCCCAGCACTTTGGGAGGCCAAGGCAGACGGATCACGAGGTCAGGAGTTCAAGACCAGCCTGGCCATCATGGTGAAACCTCACCTCTACTAAAAATACAAAAATTAGCTGGGCATGGTGGTGCATGCCTGTAATCCCAGCTACTTGGGAGGCTGAGGCTGGAGAATTGCTTGAACCCAGGAGGCGGAGGTTGCAGTGAGACAAGATTGCGCCACTGGACTCCAGCCTGAGTGACAGAGCGAGACTCCATCTCAAAAAAAAAAAAAAAAAAAAAAAATCTGCAGAAAGAAAGGATGCTGCATGCTATCCACTACATTTGTATTTGGATTTTTAGGGGACTTACCCCATGACTCAGCTTTCTTGGAATTGAAAAAGCACACAAGTTCATTTTAATAACTAATTAAAACAATTTTTAAAATGTTTTTGGAAACTAAAAAGTAATCCACAACATATGCAGTGATCTTACAACATTTCCCAGAAGAAAGCAAGAGGGACTTCTGGAGATCCTTGCCAAGTCTTTATTATGATGAATGTATAAGGTATGTCAGGGAATTTATATTCAGTACCACACAGGGATTATTTCTACCTCTCCTATTACTATTTGGTGTTTCAGAACTGGCGCAATCCACATAGGAGACCGAATCCTAGCCATCAATAGCAGCAGCTTGAAAGGGAAGCCTCTGAGTGAAGCCATCCATTTGTTACAGATGGCAGGAGAGACTGTCACCTTGAAAATTAAGAAACAGACAGATGGTGAGTAGTGAGTTGAAAGCCACAATTAAGGATTTCCAGTGCATTTTCTTCCTTGAAAGAATGTGCTAGTGTCTGTGTGATTCTAGGGAAACGAATCTCCAGCAAGAGTATTTTGGTATATTTTTATTTAAATTTACTCTGATACTTAAACTCCTTTCCTGTCTATAAAGCCCAGTCAGCATCGAGCCCCAAGAAGTTCCCCATTTCTAGCCATTTGAGTGACCTGGGGGATGTGGAGGAGGACTCCTCGCCAGCACAGAAGCCAGGCAAGCTGTCCGACATGTACCCTTCCACAGTGCCCAGTGTGGACAGTGCTGTGGATTCATGGGATGGGTCTGCAATAGACACCAGCTATGGAAATCAAGGTACGTCTTTACTTTGTCCCCAGAGGACTTCTCATTGTTGAAGCCCATGCTTCTTCAAGATTCATCCTCTGCTCCATGAGGAGAATATCTTTATTTAACTTGTATCTGCTTTGGTGTAGCCGAACACACTGAATGCTTACACTCAGCTGGCCATACATTTCCTTCTAGTGCTTATAAGGCATGAACCTTTACCAAACACTAACAGGCCTCCATTAGGTCTACTGATGGCCAAGTATCCCATCCAGAGCTTATCCTTCAAGCTTAGATTAATGTGAGGCAAACCATACAATAAAGTGGCTTGTTCAATACAGGCCCCATTGTCTTATTTTTCAGCAAGCTTTCCACAAAGATGGATTGGGGAGTTCAGAAGAGTTACATAAGAGATTAGCCAATGATTTGTGACTCTTATTTATTCCTGCCCACTCCTGACTTTTTTTTTTTCTTTTAGAGACTGGGTCTCACTCTGTCACCCCAGATAGAATACCCTGGCACCATCACAGTTTATTACAGCCTCAAACTCCTGGACTCAAGAGATCTTGCTGCCTCAGTCTCATCTCCTCAGTAGCTGAGACTATATGCAGACACCACCACACCCAGCTGATTTTTAAATTTTTGTAGATATGGGGTCTTGCCATGTTATCCAGGCTGGTATCAAACTTCTGGCCTCCAGCAATCCTCCTATCTTGGCCTCCCAAAGTGCTGCAATTACAGGCATGAGCCACCATGTCCTTTCCCTGAATGTTTATAATTAGAGCGTTATAATCACAATATAGGAAAGTATAGAGTAGATTTTTCTTCATAGGGGTCATTGTCATGTGAAGAAATACTATCTACATTAAAAAGCCTCACTCATGGAATATAAACACATAAAAGGTGTCAGACTGAAAACAGAGCAGAAACTAATAGCTTCTTTTAAAAAATATTTTCCTCCCAGTGATCCATGGCATCAAAAAGAAAAGTATGTCAAAACTTCTTGGTATTTCTCCTCATCTGAGCCTTACCTTCTCCCGTGTTCTATGTAAATTCCAGCCTCTGAATCCCTTGTTTGCTCTGGGTTTCAGTCAGTCAAATAATAAAACACATAAACAGTTTAGAGAACACATTGGCATGAGGGCTGCTTTGTCACGGAGATAACTGTACTTTTAGGAGAGTCTGTATCCAGTTTGCTCTCTCCTGGTTTTCCTAGTTTCCTTCTCTCAGCCTGCCTATGTTGTGTCACTCTCTGTTAAGTCCTCTGGTGAACAAAAAAAAAATATGGAAGGGAGAAAAAACTGGAAAAAAAATGAAAGGAGATGATATTTCAAAGTTGTCAAGTTGTTACTTTCATTAGAGATGATACTGGAGTTGGGTGCGGAAAATACTTTGAACACCTAAATGGAATTGGGGCTTTTATTTATCTGGCAATTAATTTTTGCAAGTCATAATACCTTGTGACAAGTTTGCCTATGCCACCAAATAACAGACCTTCTGATTGCCTGAGAATTGATTGGCCACCAGAAGACACTGAGTAAAGGACAGAAGTCACATTCTATCAGAGTAGACTCAGGTTTATTTATCAATGTATTGTGTATTGGTTATTTATTCATGTATTATTTGTGTGTTGCTTATTAATGTAGAGATATTTTTGTTACACAGATTTTTGTGAGGGTGCTATTGATATTAATGACTTCTTCCCCATAAGGTGATCCGGAAGACCTTAGCTACTCCATTCCTTGAAACTATAGAAAAAGGACCATGAGAAGCAAACTGAATATAGGACCTGCCCCTCATTAGTAAAAGATGAAAAACCATTTGTTATTTGTGAAACATTTCGAAATTTTGAATCATAGTCATAATATTATATTTTGCATCTATAATTTAGACATTTTATGAGGTTGAAGGGAACTAAGGGATAAGTAGAGACAATGGCAATCAGGATAGAATCGAAGTACTCCAAGGTAATGAAAAAGTAGTAATAACCCTTTATATATGTAGAACACTCTAGAGTTTACAAAGCACTTTCGTATAACTAATCCCCATTAATTCTCATAATGAATATGGAAGCTGAAGGCAGGATTTCAGCTTTAGAAAGGGTTTAGGAGTCAGCTAGTCTGGTGTCTGGTGCAGCCCTTGGTGCCAGGTCCTGCCTCACTGCACGCCAAGACACGCTGCATGGACTTGAGCGCCCAAGTTGACAGGTTGTTCCTTGTGCTGAGGCATCCCCCCATCTCCACATAGCTCTGATGACTCTAAAGCTCTCACTTGTATTGAGCTGCAGTATGCCTATTAGTCCTAGCTATACCCTCAAGGTCATTCTGAACTAGACTAAAGCCTCTTCTTTTGACAGCCCCTTAGATACTCGGAGACAGCTATTGGGTCTCTGTTGAGGCTTTCCTTCTCCAAGCCAAATAGCCCCAGTTCCTTTAACTGTGCCTTCTATAATTTACTGGCAAGTATCTGTATCGTCCTGTGGGCCTCTGTTCTGAATGCGCTTCAGTTTACCTGTATACCTGTTAAATGTAGCATTCAAAAGGAAAATCACACAACAGCCCGACAGCCTGGAGCAAAGCAAGCTTGTCATTGGCATCACTGAAGACAGGAGAACTGATCAATGACGCCTACCTCAACATAAGAATTTTAGTGGTCATGGCACATCTGTCACTCATTTTGAGCTTACAGTTTACCAAGATCTCAAAGTCTTGTGAATGTTTTTTTTGTTGTTGTTTAGTTTTGTTTTTTTTTTTTTTCCTTTACCTGTGATATTCAGTTAAACTGCATCTCTCCAGATTGTGCTTGTGAGATTGACTTTTTAAAAGCAAGGCACAGCTGGGTACAGTGACTCAGGCCTGTATTCCCAGTACTTTGGGAGGCTGAGGTGGGCAAATCACCTGAGGTTAGGAGTTCAAGACCAGCCTGAGCAGCATGGCAAAACCCCGTCTCTACTAAAAATCCAAAAATTAGCCAGGCATGGTGGCACACACCTGAAATCCCAGCTACTCGGGAGGCTGAAGCAGGAGAATCCCTTGAACCAGGAGGCAGAGATTGCAGTGAACCGAGATCATGCCACTGCACTCCAGTCTGGGCAATAGAACAAGACTACATCTCAAAAAAAAATTAAAACAAAAATAAAAGCAAGACAGAGAACCGCACTTTTACTTTTCCTATTCAATATTATGTTGTGAGATACAGCTTATCTCTCCAACCTGTCCCTCCAGCCTCTCAGCAGGCTCTCTGCCTTGTCCCAGGAAGCCCCTGCACATTCTCTCTGTTCCCTTTAAGGCTGGAATAGTTGCCTCATTCCCAGGAGGCTGTTGCACCTCCATAATGCACATCTTCCTCCTGGGGCTGGAAATCGATGTCTTTGCAGCAACATTCCTTACTGTTCTCTGCTGCTTCTCTAAAATATCAAGCTTGCTCCATTCATTCTTTCAACCAGTATGTAATGACTGGCTCAATATCAGGCCCATAGACCATGTGGATACACTGTTGGACAAAGGAAACATGATCTCTGCTCCTGTGGAAGAGGTTGCGCAGCTGAAGGGACAGTCAGTTAACAAATAAATAAATAGTGGCCCTATCACTTTGTTAGTGGAAAGGGAAATAGAATGGAATGATGAAAACTTGTGGGGAAAGAAGGGATGTGTTTAAGGAAGTCCCACAAGGGGCTGATCCTCAGTTCCACTGTGTGGCTGACTTCTTCCAGTCGGCCTCCGGGTCAGCTTCTTTCACTCCCCATTGTCTTGCCCATTAGATGCCTCATGCCCTTCTGCCTTATCAAAATCTTAGGCATTTGGCCTCCTTGCATCTTCTTAATTCTTCCTTCTAACTCTGAGAAAACCCTATGACTGCTTTACTTGGATTTAGCAAAGGTCAGTACAAGAGGGACTGGCAAATTGGTGGTGGTACATAGACTGCCATTCTCATGTGCTGAATAGCTCTTGTGCTCTCTGTAACTTTTGACTCTCAACTCAGATAGTTACATTTCTATCTTATTTTTCTCTCTTTTGAAGTCATTTTGATCATTTGTATTCTCTCAGAAAATGAAATTATTTCATCCAGATGTCAAATGTATTTTTATATAATCTCTTTTTAAATTTTTTTATTTTCTCAGTTTCTATAATTATATCCACAATATTGTTTCTTAATTGGTATATTTGTGGTTTTATTATTTTCCCCATGATTTGATTAGTAAGAGTTTATTTGATTTCTTTGTTGGGTTTTTATTTTTTCCCAGAGAACTGACTCTTGCATTTATTTATTAGTTCTACTCTAGTTTTTTTTTTAACATAAAATTTTACTTTTAATTTGATTAACTCTTTCATTCAGTTCCTTTTGAATTTTATTCCTGTTATGACTTAAGTTGGATGCACAATTTATTTTCATTGTTTTATAAGGATATATTCCTTCTTTGTGTTTTCATAAGGATGATAACTGATCAAGGACACCAACATGTGCAGTCAGAGTCCAACTTTATTTAATGTCATTAAAGAATACAAATACTCCATACAGAGGATAGCACAGAGTAGAAACCCAATGGTATCCTCCTCTACTCATTGGCAGGGTTTTATTTTTCTCTTTCTTTTCTGATCTCTACAAGCTCATGTTTCATCATCATCTTGTCTTGCCCAATTTCTCTTGAGTTCTTGTATTTCTGCTTTGATCCCTTGTTTTATAGAGGTGATGACTTTGCTGTGTATTTTTTGAATTTTGTGATTATTTCTGACTGGTCATGTTTATCATTTGCTCTGAACCAGGCTTCTTCTCATGAGTATTCTTCATCTGCTATCACTTTGTTTTTTATGCCTTTGCTCTCATTTGTTTGATATGTACTTGGTATACATGTTATGCCAATTCCTTTTTAATTACTGCTCACCACTGAATGAGATGAGTTCTTCCTGAACTGCAAGCTGCTAGAGGTTCTGAGAAGAGCCCAGGTTGTTTCCAGGCTACCAAACGTACCCTAGTTCCAGCATGGTATATGTGAGTAAACTCTTCCCCAGCTACCAGAGAGCAGCAACAGC